ACCACTTTAGTTTCAACCAAGCAAGTGCCACTTCTCTGAAGCAATGGTCACGACACAAAACCCCGGCGGCACCTTCTTTTGCAGACCGGCAACAGAGAAAGGGCAGCACGTGGGGCCAGCCGCTTCAACTGAAATCTGCATGGATCCGGCCCTTGCTGGCTCCACACCCAGGCCACAGAAGGTCTTATGTGTTCGGCACCAACCATGAGGTTGTTGCCCGGGCTGCAAGTCCAAGTTTATCTTCATCAGATCTCCGAACCTGAGATACATGGGATGGGAGAGCAATTTAAAACCCCAACAGCCACCTATAACCACGAAAGCACCCCAAAAACTCATAAACGTGCAACACGACATCATATATTCAATCAACCCAAAAAACTTCCATGCGCGGCAAAGTCATGACAAACATGAGCCGCTGATGTGTGCCTATGGTTTCTGGCTAGCATTAATGCTTCCAGCCAGGTCCCTAGCCGGATCGAATGGCAGGTGTGCACAGCTTCCATGTCCGCATGCAACCAAGCTGGGTTCTGGGTTTTGGCGCTGCCACTTATTGCCGACCAACGTCGTCTTAGGGCAGATCACACAGACAACACATGCATGGCCAGATGCCGGTGGACTTTAATAGCTTTCTTAGTGTCATGTTGCCAGCACCACTACACAGGTGAATGGCAGTTGTCAGTCCTCGGTCTCCTTCACCAGCACAAACTACATTCCGAAGGTTCAAGGTGTGGTTCTGAAGAACACTGAAAACCTTGCTCCGATGATATGGCCAGCAACACTAGAAGATGAGCCCCGATCCAAGGCTACTGCCATCACCACCAAACAGAGAGGTGACATTGTGTCACATTCCCAACACCACAGAATACTAGGACTCTCCAACGCCACACAACTCGAGTTCTAAAGCTGCTAATGTCACATTGCCAACACCGACAAAAACAGGACTTTAAGGTCCTAATTGCCAACACCACACGACAATGCCTTAGTGACCTTAGTGTTCCAGTGCAGACTTACGTCGCAGCCAGAAATCAGCAAACAGCTCACAAGCCCTACAGCACCCACCCCGCCACGAAGTTCGACTTTGAGGCTATGGAATGAAGCTGATACGCCCTGAGAAAATCTTCTTACTTGAGACTACTATCTTTCAATCCAACATCATATCCTCGCAACTGCCCAATGGATCCCTGAGTCTCCAAAACACATCAACATGAAGACCATTATCCTGGAACCTCTCTATGATCTTTCTTCATTCCAAATCACAACCATCATCCTAGCACCGCTTTTCCTTCAATCCATGAAGCTTATGGCTGACTCAATCAGCAGCAACTAAAACCTCATCCTCGAAAAGTGAACCTTAAATAAACCAATGACAAGAGACCTTTACCTAACTATACCCAAAGCCTGGGACTTGCTTTGACTCCCAAAAGACAGAAGCCCCTCCGCCCCAGTGAAAACAAGCAAGACACCAATCTGCAAAGCAACACATGATGCAAACTAGTGACACACATCTCCCAGGGAACGTTGCATGCAGCACTTGCTGCGCTTTCGTATCGAAGTCCACAGCTGACCGAAGCTCAACACAAGCTGACTCGCGGCGATGGCACTTGTGCAGCATTTGCTGCGCGTGCTCGCGGACCTGAATTGCACAACGCTTGTCCCTGACACGACAGCTTGCATATGAGATAACACAGACTGATATCCAGTGTAAATTGACAAGTCTCGGAAAGAGCTGCACTTTCGAAGCATCCCATACCCGAAAATGTGGTTGATAACTTCCAGTTCATCTGTGACAGGCCCTCCAGCACATAGTCCCTGCCCCAAGCTCGCACGGCCAAGTTCAAGAACCTGTTTGCAACACTTCGGGTTGGCTAAATCTGAAATGCTGCAAGCACACTGAAGATGAGATGCCGGGCCGCCTTTGAGGCCAACGATATTGGTCAACCACACATGTGGGGCTGTTTCCCCACATCACATCTGGGTATACAACATCCGTTGTCGGGATGCGTGTCTGCTTGGCCGGTCTGGAAGACTCACCATCCTCCTGACAAACATTGCAAGTGCTTGCGTTTGTCCCTTGCACAAAACTGAGCGTCGTTGTCTCGGTTTGGGTTTGTGGGCTTTGGGGTTCAGGGTGGGTGGGGCGGGGTGGGGTGGGGGGTGGTTTGTTGCGGTGGCTTCTGTGCAACCCAGTATCTTTAAGGATGTGAGCTGCAGGAATGCTACAGGGGCGGGGCTTAGATTTGGGCAACTGTTAACTGCAACACGGCTCGTTTTTCTCCAGGCTTGACATCGACTCACGGCTGTGCTCCTGAGAAGAAAGCCGCTCGCCAGGTCATGCCAGGCTCAGGCATAAAATCGGCTGTTCAGCTCCTAAGAAAGCTCGCCAGCCGCGTCGCCAGGTCCAGCCAAAAAGTTCAGCTCCTATCCAGAGAAAAGCCCGCCAGGCCCAGCCAAAATCGGCTCCAGGAACCTATCGGCTGTCTTCCTTGCCCATTTGCAGCCGCTCGAACTTGGTGACCAACTTTTCGACTCGCGAGAGCAAAGCTGCTGCAGGCTTTGACTGCGACATGGCCAACTCCTGGCACGCCCTGACCACTCGGCCCAGAGTTATGAGCCGTGCGTCCAGCATTTTTGCCACGTCCCTGGTGCCATAATATCCCTTGGGATACTTCTTGCGTGGTCGCGACGTCTGCTGCTGCTTCCAGAGTGGCACCCGGGGCCTCTTTTTAGGGCGCTGCTCGTCCATTGGGAGTTGCTAGTATCTAGAGTCACTCTGCTGGGCAAATCTGACATGTGATAAAGCGGACAACTTGGAACACGGCGAGTTGCTGCGCAGCTTATCTGAATCTAGAACTTAACATCACTCAGCTGGGCAAAGCTGACATGTGACAGAGCACAATCTGCACGCTGTAAACCCAAAGGCCAGCAGCAGTCACAAGCCTAAGCATGTGATCAGCGAAGCCTCGGCAATCAAACCACTGCATAACAAAGCGTCCTTCGAAGATCGGGAGCCCGGTATCAACGAAGCCACGGCCGTGGAGAGGTCCACGTGCTGATCCCGGGTCCTTCGGATTTCTACATATCACATTGGGAAACCTTATGCGTTAACTCTGGGCAGGAGACTGGCAATCAACACGGTGTGTCCTCTTGCGGGAAGGAGGCATGAGCACTCGGACAAAACTATGGTTGCAGGTTAAAGTGAAACTTCGAATTGCGGAACTTTAATTAAACTTCAAACTGTTGCTTACTTCCCCAATAAGCCAGGGGCACTAGAATGTTGAAGTTTCAGACTACTACGAAAATATAAGTTTAAAAGATGGGTATTGGCGAACTAAGGAAGATCTCAGAAAGCAGCCAAGCACAAATTATGGTTGCAAGTTAATGAAACTTCGAACTGTTGCACTCTGAAAGCAGCCGAGCATGATTTCGACGTTGCACCGATAGCTGGAACCTTGAAGCTGCATGGTTTGGCTGGCACCGGACAACTGAAACTCCAGCACAAAGAGAACACCCGGAAACACACACACACACACACATGGCTGCACTCGCAAGCTCTGACACATGAAGATAAATAACTCTGTTTTGCAGCACAAGCAAGCATCCTCTCAGTTAGCCTGGAAAAACACCTTCAGGCGTACTACCTTCTGAGTTGCGCTCTAAATGTGGCCACAGGCAACACCATTTGACAGGTTGCCAAAGAATCCATGCCCTGCACCACATCTGCTTGTTTCACTTCCTCGTGCCACGGAAGTGGCTCGAAAGCTTGGGCAGGAGCCTGGCCCCGACCCACTCGAGTCAAATACAAGATGCTCCGTTGCAGGTTTGGGGAGATTTCCGGATACTGTGTCACGATCGTCTGCGCAAGGTCCAACCACTTCAACCGGTGTTCGGGAGGAGCCTGCTTGTTGGGCCGAGCTGTTTGGGGCACGGGCCCATTCAATCGGCTGAGGAAACACACCGGCAAAACCAGAACTGGCAGCTGGCTCGGCTCTGTGTCAGATGCAAAACGTTTGGTGACACAGCAAACATCATTCGGATGTGGCTGCAGAAGCTGAGCTGCGCTGCCGGTCGCCGAGATGGTCAGGTGGCTGGGAAGATCTCAGCTGCTGATGGTCAGTCTATTATGTCAATGTCGCTGAAACAAGCATTGGCCTAGACTTGTTGGTTCAAGTCGCCTCTCCGTCTCATGAACAGGAAGCAGTGCAATCCATCGGAAGTATCCAGAAGGCCTCCAGAAAAGCCAACTCGGAGGCTTTGGAACCTCAATTCTCGGAATATATAGCAATGACCATAAAGTTGCAAAACATCAACATAGCTCAGTCTAGAAGCCATCCCTTCCAATCCCGCACGGTGTCCAGCAGCTGAACATCAAATATGGCATTGGGCCCAATCCATGCCTGTATGTTGAGGTCATGAAGAATTCCATAGAGTTTCCTTACGACAAACACACATGGTTCTAAGAAGCTGCGACAAACTCAAAGAAACAAACTCTGGTTTGAGCAAGCCACTGGCAAACATCTGCTGGATCCAGCAACTCCGTGAGGTAGCGGAAAGCAACAGCCAGGAGGCCATAAATGGCGTCTGCGCGTCAATGATGTTTCGCTCTGTCTATCTGTCTGTCTGTTTGTCTGTCTCTGTCTGTCTGTCAACTCAAACACACTCGCCTAGGCGGTTGTGGGTGTGACCCACACGGGAATTCAGCATCCCCGCGAGTCGAAAGCCACATGAAGCCACCAACCAGCTCAGGTACAGCAGCAACGTCGAATTTTTGTTTTCTCTGGTGGTATTATCCACCTGACAACGGACAGATCGTATGCAGACTGCATATCAGCAAAATACTGAATCTGAATGCAAAGGAGCCACCCATACCAGCACTTCACGACCAAGTGTCTTTCCGTGAGATCGCAAGATCTCGCGGCATCGTTCCAGGGATCTGGACAGCACCTGCCCAGTCAAGCAGGCCAAACCACAGGAAGACGAAACGCACAGGCATGCAAAGACACAAACACCATCAGCACCACCTCGACGGTCATCGAACTGTCGTGAGCCAGATGCACATCTCCAACGTACAGCAACAAGCAAACACTTTGGATCCAAACTCCTTGAACCTTCATCCGAGGCCTTAGGTTGGGCTACATCATGCTACTACTGCTTGCATACAGACACAGCACACCAGCTCAGGGTCCATCCGAACAACGGAACTCATCTCCTTGCTGGGCCGATCCCACAATCTGGGAACACTCCATTTCGCTTGATCCATGCCGTCTGTTTGGATGAGCAGCACCGGAGTGCTGCTCGTGAAGCAGTCTTCTGCCTGGAGCATTTGTTCTAGGCTTCTGTCACGTTGCACATCCTCCAAATGATGCTTGTATTGGTAAACGAAGCCCATTTTGGTATCCAAATCCTTGGCTCTGGAGGGGAAAAATGAAATCAATGATGGTTGGTATTCCGCCAAGTCTCCTTAGCTTGCCGGATGCCCTCTTTGAGGCTGAAGCAGCGGTCGCATTCGGCAAATTCGGTTGTACTTCGGAAAACAAGCTTCGTGGACCACTTCTGCTGAAAACGTGCTTGGAACAGATTGTACCTCGACTCACGACGACACACAAGCACTTGACTTGGCTTGGGAACGATCACAGCAACATCGCAACAACCAATGGCGAGAAACCCGGCTCTGTGCTGTTCATGACAACTGATGGCATAATGCCGGTACAGGTCCATGACATTGCCCGGAGGAAGCCATCGCCTCGGCAGCTTCTCCATGTCAAGGCCGAAGACGCTGCCGATATGCCTCGTAAGCAACAGGAATCACGCAACCCCGGAAATAGAAACCTCTATTTCTCAGATTGAACCTCAAAAACCACAGCAGCTTAGGCTTAGCAGTTGAACCTGGGCACTTGTTCCAAAGCTCTCTGTCCATCTCCATTTCCTGTTTGAGGTCGGCATCTAGCTGCAGTTGTTCTGGAGGCAGAATCACAGCAGCATCGTTGTGATCATCATCCCCATCATCAGATACATCGTCCGAATCATCTGCTGCATGCGTGCATCCGAGAGCGCACGCCCACTGAAGTTTCTTCTTCGAACGCTTCGGTCTCAGATGCTTTCTGGGGCGCCCCAAGAACCTCATTCAGTGCTTTGCTTTTGACATGCCAATACTTGCCGCGCACACACAAAGAGCACGGCGAAAACAAGTCTCTTGCTCATACCCAGGAACCCGCTCGGCAATGTTTCTGCAATCGAAGAATGTAGATCATACAGAAATTTGTCTACTGAATCCGTCTTTGGGCTTTGCCTTATAGAACCTCCCGTTTCAGCAAATCGCAGATCCAGGTTGCCAGACATGGCCTTCAAGAGCCGTTTCTTCCCCATGCCCAAAAGACTGGCCAAGCAGTCAGGGGCAATGGTTTGTCCCAGGAACTCGTAGGATCGCCTGCCGTGGGTCGGCTGGTCGGCGGCCAAGCCATGTATCTTGGATGTCAATGCAATGCTCTATGCATGCGTGACAGCATCCAATCGCGAACCCTCAAGAGACAATCGTTGAATGGCTAGCAACGAACTCATCTTGATCTAGCTTGTCCAAGTCATTGAACTTTGTCACGAACTCTGACACTGCATCCAAGGATTGTGAAAGCAATCGAAAGCAGCCTTTCCGAGTACACTTGCAGTCTTTGTCGCCATCAAGCAAAGATCGCAGACGATTTCGATCTGTGGCACGTTCCTGGAACCTGACAGGAGTCACTGGGCCAGCTGTTTCTTATGATTATTTCAGGCACCCAAACTACTGTATCTGCACACAAAGTTACGATTTCCCGCCAGTCTTCGGTTTTTTCTGGACCATAGCCAGTCGGCGGGCATTGTTGTAGTTCGGTCTCGGCTTCCTGCTTGTGGTTTGAGGTTTCTCTCCATGCCCACGGAATTTCCTGGGCCCGCATAGAACGAAAATCACGGCTCTCAAATCAACCCACTCACTGCGGCCAGTGTTAAATGCTCATCCAAGCCACGCTCCACCCACTGCATTGCGAAGGGCAGCAAAACCAAAACTAACCTTCTTGACGCCTTCAGACGATGAGCTGGCTGCATCATTTGTCTGCTTCAGCGACATCATGAATTGATTTCTCACAGGATCATCAGAAACGATTGCAGCATCTCCGGCACCAGTTTCCCTATCATTGTGCTGCAGGGCTGCTTGCACAGCAGCGGCAAGTTGCATCAGGAACCAAAGCACTAGCGCCAGTCGCATGGCCCCAACATTCACATCAGAATCTACAGGACACGAGACAGAACGTCGTGCTTCTGTCAGTTGGCTGTCAATGCGACGATAGGAGACAGAACGTCGTGCTTCTGTCAGTTAAAATGTCAATGTGACAAAATGAACATCGTATTTAAATTGAGCGTGATGGTTATCAATGTGTCAGTGGAATCAACTGCAGAAGCACTGCTCTGCACCAGCTCAAGGCAGCATCGGCCAAGCAAGGTCTGTCAATGACATGTCGTGCAGACACACATGAACCTGGTCGCACACACACACAGTGTCACACACACACACACACACTTAGACTTGCCATTGCTCTCACACACTTTGCTCGCACTGATGTCTCCCTCATATTTAGGGTTTAGGGTCTAAGGCTTTAGGGTTTTTTTTCCTCACGTTGAGACAGTATTTCGCGAAATTCGTCAAGTGCCCCAATCATTGCCAAGGCGTGGCTTGTATGGAGCAATTGTACTTTACTTTGCCTGGTCTCGTGATTGTTGATTCTTCAAACATTCATTAGGGTTTAGGGTTTTATTTGTTGTTCGCACGGTGACACGGCAGAATGCCTAATATGCCCGTTTGGGCTTGAGCCGGACTACTGAGTCATTGCCAAGTCGTGGTTTGTATGCATGATGGTTTAGGGTTTTTGTTCGCACGGTGATACGGCAGAATGCCTAATGTCAATGTGCCCGTTTTGGGCTTGAGCCGGACTACTGAGTCATTGCCAAGTCGTGGTTTGTATGCATTATGGTTTAGGGTTTTTGTTCGCACGG